ATATGAATCATTTTATTCTAAAAATAGAGACATTGTAATTTAACATATAACACAACTTACCATAAAGCAAAATTGTTGAAAAATTATTTAGTACATAGTGATTTTGTAGGCTGCTCTAAAAAGGACCCCTGTAAAAACGTAGGTACGTTTAGATGTGGGGACTGCCCCTTTTGTCAATATATGAATACCGACAGTGATACCATTCTACCAAATGGGGATAGATATAGACCTCGACACTTTGCAAATTGTAAAATGGTGGGAGTGGTCTATTTACTGAGTTGTGGCTGTGGAGGCTTTTACACTGGGCAAACCAAGCTTGAATTTCGGAAACGAGCATATCACCATATTTTCAGTATGAAATCAGCTAATCCGGATTTACCCTTAGGTCGCCATGTTAGGGACATTCATGGCAGCAAGTTTCCTAAAATCTCATTTACCATCCCTGATAGGGTCCACCCTAGTGGTAGAGGGGGAGATTGGAACAAACTTTTACTCCAAAATTAAACCAGCTGGATTGTGTCACTTGACGCCACTCCCCCCCCAGGGCTAAAAGATACACTCAGTTTTAAGCCCTTTTTGGACGGTTTTGTTTTGGGTGGCTGGGAGAGATAGAGAGAATTCCATTTTTGGACCATTGTCATCTAGTCCTCCTTGTTCCACGTTGTCAGACCCCATAAATTACTCATACATAACATCGTCTTATTGACATTTTTTGGGGGCCATGCTTGCCATTCTGTTTATGCATTAGTTGTATTTTTGTACTTTGTCTATATCTAGCTTGCTGAGATTTAGTTGCACTTTGCACATATTCTGGTTTGCTTTATATGCATGTTTTGTACTATCACCACTAGATAGCACATTGTTGCGATCCAAGGCTCACTTCACTAACATAGTTTTGCTTTTCTGTTTTGGAGGGGAGACGCTTCCCCTGGGTGTGTTCTTCCTCTCCACCCGGTGCACCAGGGCCAGCTGGTTCTCCCCGGCCGGCCCTGTTTTAGTGTCCAGCTGTGTAGAGGGGGATTGTAGGGCTGCGCTGTCCACTCTTCCCCCTACTTGGGCTTTCCCATCCCGCTGTCACTGGCATGCTAGTCGCTAGATTTGTGTGCCGGTAGGTAGCCTGCGTGTTACGTCATCCCACCCCTTTGCTGCGTAGGCGCCTCGGGGTTGCCATGATGGCGGATTCGCACATGCGTGGTTCAGGGTTGGTACTGCGCATGTGTGAGCGTTTAGATGCCATATTTAAACTTCATATTATGCAATACATGGAAGATCTTCTGAATGCCACTTCACTACTAACTGGAGGTGCTCACTCTCGGAGAAGTATTGGGGAATTCAGGTAAACAAGAACTATTTACTCCTTCTTTTTTGACCCTACATTCTTCCACAAATCCTCTTGTGGTCTTGTGGGGAGTGCATTATTCCTTTAGTCACTTGTTACGTGACACTCAGCCTACACAGCTAATCCCTTAGATCCCTATTTAACTTATATTGTTGATACATATTAATTTTAGAGTGTCCGTGGCCAATGGGTTGTAGATTTGTACTTTTTCACAGAAGTTTAGGCTCCCTTTATTGCTAGTATATACATCTACTATAAGACATGAAGTTCATTTAATATCTTGATAAGCCCCCTGAGAGGATCTGAAGGGTCCGCATAATACTTGGTGAAGATAGTCCCAGGCTACTGTGGCATATATACACTATTGTGATACACACGTTTCATATCTTTATACGCCATTGGTTTGTAGTAGACTAATTTCAGACACATATTGTGGCAATGTTGGTATTGATTATTTTAATTTTCTTTCTTCTGCTGTCTTCATGAGGACAGACAGTAAAGTAATGGCTTCATATTGTATTTTATAGGCTCTTTCTTGTCCTCTTGCATCCACGTAAGTGGGTCCATTGTCCTTTCAGGCGATACATGTGTGAGAGGATTGCCCACGTTTGGGGATTGGTTGTCCTCCTCCCCCCTTCCTTTTTTGAGTTCCCCCTTTACCATCCAGCCCTTGGTGCACCAAGTTGCCATTGATGAGCATATCAGAAAAAGACTGTCTTGTGCCTTTCTTTGTGCAACTATAACATTCCAGAAAAAAATTAGATGGTATGTAGGTTGTAGATTTACATACAGTTGTGCTCAAAAGTTTGCATACTCTGGCAGAAATTGTGAAATTTTGGCATTGATATTGAAAATATGACTGATCATGCCAAAAAATGCTTTTTTATTGAGGGATGGTGATCATATGAAAAAATGTATTATCAAATAGTTGTCTGGCTCCTTTTTAAATCATAATGATAACAGAAATCACCCAAATGACCCGGATCAGAAAGGAACTGTCAAAAGTCTTGTGTAACAAGGTAATGGAACTTTATAATGATAGAAAAGAACATGAAAATATGTCCAAAGCCTTGACTATGCCAATCAGTACTGTTAAATCACCTATTAAGAAGTGGAAAGTTCGGGGATCTCTTGATACCAAGCTAAGTGCAGGTACACCAAGAAAGATTACAGTCACACCTGCCAGAAGAATTGCTCGGAATACAAAGGGAAACCCATAGGTAACCACAAGAAAAATACAGCTCTGGAAAAAGACAGTGTAGTTGTTTTGAAGGCGCACAATATGATGACACTTGAACAAAAATGAGCTGCATGGTCGAGGTGCCAGAAAGAAGCCTTTACTGCATCAATGACACAAGGAGGCCTGGTTAGGCATGTCAAGGTGTTGTCAGGTATATTGTAACTGGGATTTTTTTGTGGCATTGGTGCAGTAAAAGTTTCTTTCTGGCACCTCAACCAAACAGCTAATTTTTGTTCAAGTATCACCGTATTGTACTCCTTAAAAACAACCACACCATCTTTTTCCAGAGCAGCCTGTATTTCTTTTGAGGTTGCCTGTGGGTTTTTCTTTGAATCCCAGACAATTCTTCTGTCAGTTATGGCTGCAATCTTTCTTGATCTACCTGCGCTTGGTATCAAGAGATCCCCAAACTTTCCACTTCCTAATAGGTGATTTAACAGTACTGATTGGCATATTCAAGGCTTTTGACATCTTTTTATGTCCTTTTCCATCTTTCTAATGTTCCATTACCTTTTACGCAAGACTTTTGACAGTTCTTTTCTGATCCCCATGGCTCAGTATCTAGCCTAGTCAGTGCTTCCTTGTAAGAGCTAACAAACTCATTGACTATTTATACACAAACACGAATTGCAATTTAAAAAGCCACAGATGTGGGACATTAACCTCTAATTGGCATTTTAAACCGTGTGTGTCACCTTGTGTGTCTGTACCAAGGCCAAACATTCCATTTTGATCATAGCCATTTGGGTGATTTCTGTTATTATGATTTAAAAAGGATCCAAACAACTATTTGATAATAAATGGCTTCATATGATCATCATCCTTCAATAAAAGAGCATTTTTTGCCATGATCAGTCATATTTTCAATATCAATGGCAAAATTTCACAATTTCTGCCAGGGTATGCAAACTTTTGAGCACAACTGTATGTTCCTGATTGTATTTCATTTGTTAGGTGACACCTGAAGAAAGACTTATGTTCTGAAACGTGTCAGATTCCTTGCTGACGTTCATTCACCTCTCACTGCCTTCTGGATTGTAGGAGAAGGTGCAACACTACGTGTCAGCTCATAGCAAGTCATATAGACAGTTCTTTTGCTATATTATGTATGTTTTTAACATGTGTGTTGTCTTAAATTATGATGTCTCTTTTTTTTTTTGGGGAATAAAATGATTTATATAATTACATTTTCTGTTTTGGGTTGCCTTTTAAAGTCCCAGTTCAAATTGTTGGGGAACACACTTTTGGGTATACAACGTTTGGGATGTTGGCAACTTTGTAATGAATTCAGTGCTGGGTCCATTTACTTCCTCTTCAATTAGTGTATATACAGTGGGGCAAAAAAGTATTTAGTCAGCCACCAATTGTGCAAGTTCTCCCACTTAAAAAGATGAGAGAGGCCTGTAATTGGCATCATAGGTAGACCTCAACTATGAGAGACAAAATGAGAAAAAAAATCCAGACAATCACATTGGCTGATTTGGAAAGAATTTATTTGCAAATTATGGTGGAAAATAAGTATTTGGTGAATATGAAAAGTTCATGTCAATACTTTGTTATATATCCTTTGTTGGCAATGACAGAGGTCAAACGTTTCCTGTAAGTCTTCACAAGGTTGGCACACACTGTTGCTGGTATGTTGGCCCACTGTAAATCCCAGGGTAGGGGGTGCTCATATACCGTAGGTGTGTAACTGGCCAGATCACAGGTGAAAATGGTAAAAAAAAAAGCTTTAAAAGAAAACGAATGCAGCTTAAGGATGGGTAAGCTTGCAATATTTCTGGTTTTGGGCTTAATACCACTTTAATCAGTGATTAAAAGTATCAATTTTGGATGAAAGCTGTGTACTAATATACATTTATCGCAAGATCGCTTTGAAAGCGGTATTTTTCGTACGATTTTCTGATCATGTTTACTAGGCTTAAAAGTCCTAGAACTATTAGATCAACTTGGCAGCCACTCAACATATTTCTCTTCATAAAATAAACAATAAGTTTCCTCTCCACTGGTGTGTATTTTAGGGCCAGGTTACACCACTTGCAGTCCAGTTTGTTTTTGTTTAGTTTTTTTTGTATTTGTGTTTTCTGCATCAAACACAAACATGTTCTAGAAAAAAAAAAGTAAAACATGCTGCATTTTTCCTGCACTGGACTGTATTGGAAAACAGTAAAATGCATCAAATGCACTGGAACATATCAAACATGCATCAGACCCCAGTACAGTGGGGAAAAAAGAAGAAATAAAGCATCTGGAATGCATCCAGACATGCACCAGAACGCATTAAAACGTGCATGCAGTTACATCATCCAGGAGGGATCTGGAGTGCTTTTTTTTTTGGCATAAACCAGCCGTTACTATTACTGGTATTTTTTCTTAAATTTTGCAAACTGTTAACAGCCTTTGTTGTTGTTGTTTCGGCAGGTATGTTTGCCACAGTAGCAGGGATTTCCCAGCGTGCTCCAGTTCGTTGGTCTGAAAATGTAATTGGAGCTGCAGTGTCTTTCCCTTATGTGCTGGCTTTAGATGAAGAATTCATCACAGTGCACAGCATGCTGGACCAACAGCAGAAACAAAGCCTGCCCTTCAAAGAAGGAGTTATCCTGCAGGATTTTGAAGGTACTGGTTGTGAATTGGGGTTTGTGATATAGTATAAAAACACTGTTCTATGTATTTATAACATTCTAGAATATGATGGCCCTAAGGCCTTCTGTGCCATGGGTACATGTACAAAAGTGCACTTCATTCATGTCACTGTACAGCAGCGTGATTATCACAGCTTGCTGCAGCTCAGCTCCGGGCTGCATTACAATGTGGACGGGACACACAGAAAACAATTGTTTTCTGTGTATCCTTGCAGTGACTGGCATTTTGCACTGCAATAAAATGTCCGGTCACTGCACACAGTGTGAATTCACCCAGAATGTTATGAACATTTCAGGTTAATGGAGAGGGTAGGGTTCCATTTCTCACTGGGCTTTTAGGGGTCTTTGGGAGCCTAATGGAAAAATCTATCCCCCAACTCCTGCTTTTGCTGTATGTAAGAACCAATTATACAGCCAAATAAAAAAAAAATATATATATATGTATATTTATATATACTGTATATATTTTAGCCATTCATTATATGAAAATATAATTAAATGTATTTTTGCATACAACTAGCCTATGTACTGGAATGTGTCCTAATTGTCCTAATATTGGTTTACTGTACTCTTCTACAAAACTGCTCTCAGACTGGAAGGGTAAGCACTAGGCACCTATCTGGGCTATACTACATTGTACAATGCATGTCAGCCTAACACTGAACATGATTGCAGATAGAGCACAGAGGTGACTTCATCAAGATACTTCTGCCCCTTCATTGACCACTCAGCAAGCTGAGGAAGTGCAGATGACTAAGGAACTTCAGGAACCATCATTCCCAAAGTCAGTCATCTGATGGCTTTGTGCCATTAACATGATACCAGAGGAACGTATAAGTAAGATTGTGGTGTTGACTTTTGCATGGAATTCCATGTTTTTATTCATTTCTTTTGATCAGAGTTTCATTATTACAGGGAAACAGAAGCACAGTCAGTACTATAAACATACTCTGTGAGCACTGACGGAATTGATGCAGTGTACATGAGCAATTGTAATGATCAATGAATAGATGCCAATAAGACATTTTCTTGTCTGTTTCTTTCCTCATATGATTCAGTGATAAAAAAAAATTTAAAGAACAGACAAAACTTTAAATAATATGGATTTCATCTATTCATTAATATACATAAATCTATATCTTCCAGTCCAGATTACTCCATTTCTTTTAATTGTTAGAACCAGAAGTTTGTAAAGGGTTTTTTTTTTTGTTTTTTTATCTTTTTATTGTTTTTTTACATATTGTCAGCATTTGCTTGTTTCCTTCCTCCTATCAGAACAGGATATGCCTGGGAACCGGACAACAGCACATATATTCACATAGCCTTGATAAGGGTGAACAGAGCGGACAACAGGACACTGGAATGTTAGCATTGATTGAATTTTAGACAAACAGCCCTCATAAGTTTGAATATAATGCAGAGATTCACTTAAGCAGAATACTGATAAGTGACTACAGGAAAAGAAGTCATGTTTCATCAGCTCTTGCAGGATGGCCATGGCTGGCTATGTTTACCCTCCCTGAAAAGTACTGTAAAACTGTTTTTGGCTATGGGCATCAGTTAGTGTGCTGGGTAGGTGTTACATGGCGTTCTTTTCTGTATTGTTTAACCACTTGAAGACCAAGCATTTTGTGGCACTTTTTTGTTTCCAAGTTTAAATCAGTATTTTTTTGCTAGAAAATTACTTATAACCCCAATAAATTATATATTTTCGTTTTTCTTCTTAGCAAAGGCCCTAGAGAATGAAATGGCGATCATTGCAATTTTTTATGTCACATGGTATTTGTGCAGCGGTTTTTCCAACGCAATTTCTTGTGAAAAAAAAACATTTTAATGAATTAAAAAAACAAAGCATAATACTGTATATACCCCAATTTTTTGTAAAATATGAAAGATGATGTTACGGCGAAGTAAATAACGTGTCACGCTTGAAAATTGCACACACATGTTTACAGGTTACCTGTTTAGCGTAATAGAGGAGGTCTAGCACTAGAATTATTGCTCTTGCTCTAACATTAATGGCAAAACTTCACATGTGTGCTGCGAACACCGCTCACATATGCATGTGCAACTTACATATGTGCTCACTTCTGCACGCGAGCACGGAGGGATGGTTTTGCTTTAAAACTTATTTATTTTTACACTGTCCCTTTTATTTATTTATGTATTGATTTGATCACTTTTATTCCTATTACAAGGAATGTAAACATCCCTTGTAATAGAAATAAGGATGACAGGTAGTCTTTAACCTCCCTGGCGTTATGATTATTTCAGATTTTTGGTGCTGAAAGCGGTACCATTTTTTTGCATGGAAATATGTATTTTTTTAATTGTAGGCCTGTAATTTTTAGGAAAAACTCACTGAAATCTGTCCGAACAAGAGTCTAGTAAACATCCCGGGTATGATAAAATTTGAAACACAAAATCATAAATTATAATTTAATAAATAATCATAAAAATAATATAATAATAATAAAAAATTTAATTCAATAATATAATCAAACCAAAAACACTGAAATTTGAAATATAGCGCCAAGTTCGTACCTTGCTGAGCTCAGTCGCAAAATCGTTTTCAGTGTCTGATGACGAATTTCCCCCACGAATCATTATCACTCAATTCTGCAAGTGGTTCTGATTTACTATCGCTGTTCTCTAGCTGATCTAAACCGCTTTTGACCTAAAGGGACACTTTTTGGATGCCATGGACGTTTCTCAGTTTCCAGGCAGAAAGAACAGACAAAATGCAGGCAGGGCGCCGGACAAAGCACTCGGGACAAAATGTATGTGAAATTGGTTGAGACAGCAATGTTTTACTATGTAAAAAAAAAAAAAAAATGTCATTTTTTAAAATTTTTAAATTTCCCGCCGCCGGCGGCGCCCATATGTCCCGACGTCACAGGGACAGGACACAGAAGCCGGATGCCGGCATCGGCCGGAGGAGATGGCCGGGGACGCTGCAGGGGACACATCGCGGGAGCGCAGGGTAAGGTAAGTGAAGAACACATGCCTGAGCAGTGCTGCATGGTAAGCCCCGAGTGTAGCTGGGGTTACCGCTCTTGGTACTGAAATGTTACCCCGAGCTACACTCGGGAATACCGCTAAGGAGGTTAAGGACAGCTCTGGGGTCAAAAAGACCCAAAATATCTTCTTTACTTTTAAAAACAAAAGATCCAAATACATTTTTTTGATCTTCTGCTTTAAAAATACAAAAAACAAACAAAAATTGGCATCACTCCAGTCCTCAGAGATGACAGAGCCCCTCATCACCTATGTGACAAGCCAGCCTCACCGTCTGATTGTTTCTTGAGCGTGCCGGTTGAAACAATAAGCCTGAGAAACCCCGCTGGGGGGGGGGGGTATGGCTGATATCTTGAGCCATAACCCCAGTAAACCACTTGCAAACTGCAATATTTATATATGTATTGCGCGGTCGGCAGTATTAAACCCTCAGCGTTTTTAGTTCAATACATTGAGCACAATGAAGTAAACATTGACTAGAAAACATTTTGTTAAAATTCCTACTCCAGCACTTGCAGTTTACATCTTTCAGTGCTGCTGGCTCCTGTTCTCAGTGCTTCTTCCCTGAATTTCCTTTTTTTTTACAGGAAATTGTTTAAGGATAAGTTCACCTTTCATAAAATGTTACATATTACACCCATAATCAGGGTGTAACATGTTATGAATGCACTGGCCCCTGCTCCCCCCGCTTTGACAGCTAGTGGGGGCTATCTTCTCTCCCCTCGCTAGCTGTCAAATTTAAAAAAAAAAAATGTGGCTCCGTCACTTAGTCACTGTGTTCTGTGAATGAGAAACTACAAGTCCCAACAGCCTTAGCGGCTGTCTGCTTGCAGTTGTCAATGAACAACCACGGTGCTGTGTAGCACCGTGGTAGTTCATTGAGTCCTCCTTACAGTATATTGGCTTCCCCGTACATCCCGTACGGGCAAGCAGATATACTGACAGATCTGCAGGAGACCTGCATGGCGCTAGCGGTCTGCTGACCGCTGGTTCAATGATTTAGAGGCTCCTGCAACAAAAAAAATAATAAATGATATCACTTAGTTGCATTTTAACAGTAAACAGTCAGCCAGTCTGTTAGCTTGGAGGAGGAAGCTGGAACAGGGGACTTCCTTACCATCCAAGGCTATGGGGCTATTGTTTCTATTGATGCATGCAGTGTAGGGAGGCGCAATCTCTGCATGTAAGGGTGACTTCATAGGGTGCAGCAAGAGAAAGGAGACAGCCTGAAACGGGAAACCTGGGACAGTGGTCATGTCACCAGCTCAAACTGTAATAAAGGCAAGCATTGAAAGTTAACCATGCTGAATACCCACTAAGTGATTAATTCAGCTGTTGAAAGTGCTTAAAAACTGAGGGTTTACTATAATTTTAATCATTTACAGCATTTAAAGAGGAAATTCTTTTTATTCTGGTCCTCCTTTTTGTAGTATAAAACTTACTCATGAGATATTTACCCCTTTATCCTTTTCATAGCTTTCTAAATTAGTTTATTGCAAATTCTACATAACATAGTGCTCATATTAAATAAACATATTTCCTGTGTAATAGCTTTTTTTGCTGTAGAGTTTTATGGATAGATCAGTAGATCAGCAGTTTTTGAAATACACAGACCAGCCCATCTGGAACCAACAACCATACCATGTTCAAAATCACTTAAATTCCCTTGTTTCCCCATTCTGATGCTCGGTTTGAAACTTCAGCATTTCATCTACACCACATCTAGATGCCTAAATGCATCGAGCTGCTGCCATGTGATTGTCTGATTAGTAATTTGTGTTGCCAAGCAATTCAACAGGTGTACCTAATAAAGTGGCTGGTGAGTGTAGAAAGCTTAGTTCTCATCTGTTCAGTAGCTTTCATGGCTAGACCCAGGGTGGAGGAAGAGCTCTTTTCTGGTGTGTCAGAGCAGTAAAACTGGGCAGGGCAAGTCTGTCCTACATAGTCTATTACATAAATTAGCAACATATACACTAATGCAGGCCATAGATGGGGAGAAAAAAACGGCCGATTTTTTCGTCCGAAAATAAAACCGGCCCGATTATCTTATCGTTAGTGGACGATTTTGTCGGCCGTTTTTTCGTGTATTTTTTTTCGGTGATGTATGGACTTTCAGATTATCGGTGATGTTGGAAAATTTTTGAAAAACGCCCGACTTTATCCTCATTGATGGTCAAAAACGAACGATCGTTTTCCGAAAAAGGATCACAAAGGCCACAAAATGACATCATTTCCCGTTATAGGTTACTCATTAATCAGCTGATTTTCGTAATAATTGGTGGTCAGGTAAGTTTTTTAGAACGACCGATAGTTCGTTAATCGGCCAAAAATCTGCCGTTTTTCTCCCCATCTATGGCCTGCATTAGGCCTCATTCTGGCCCAGAGTAGTAGACTAATGGTTTCATACCTAGGTGCAGCAACACAAGAGGAATAGGAGTATCTTTGCTTACCATAACTACTTATTGTGCTTGTAAACAAAGGGTATTTTTTTTTTTTTTCCCCCTGCCTGCTCTGCAAAGTAGTCAGAGACCCTGTCACCAGACTATTCATTCCAACTATCATCTTTTTATAATATTATATGTGCATTTAACATATTTTGAGCAAGTTGTTTGTGTAGACAGCCAAAAGCCCTGACACTGCTGCTGGGCACCCCAGCAGACTTAGCTGTCACTCAAGGGACTCTCTGTAGTATCCCCCTTCTCTTCTTCCTAGCAGATACACAAAAGGTTGTGTTGGAAGATGAGTAGATGGGTGGAGGAGCTGGGCCAGCACAAAGAATAGTTGGATACTCTTAGGAGAGGAATATGACATGCAAGGAGGGAGGGGGCTGTGCTTGAGTGATGATTCTCCTAGAGTATTTGTGATTTCATTGACACATTGCAAGTGAAAAAACATAATTTATGTAATAGGAAAAAAAGCTGCAAGTAATAATTTACTTGATTTCTGTGCTATTTTTTTAAAGTTGGAGACAGGGTCCATTAAGGGTTGTGAATTTTTTTTTATTTTTTTTAATTAAATAAATGATTCTTTTTATTCCATGTGTATTACAGGGCGAGTGATTGTAGCAACTACAAATGGAGTGCATGTTTTAATTCCCCTACCTTTGGAGAAACAGATTCAGGATCTGCTATCAAACCAGAGAGTAGAAGAAGCACTTGTGCTAGCTAAAGGAGCACGACGCAATCTTCCAAAGGAGAAATTTCAGGTGTGCTTTTAAATCTCCCCCTTATAATATAGACAAACTACCTGCTGCTTCCAACCACTGCATTTGTGAAGCGGTAGAAGCATGTGTTGAAAGAGAATAGATCTTAATGGACCTAAAGCTTTTAGCACTAGTTCACACTGAATACGACTTTGAAAATGTACAACTTCAAATGAAGCCGCACGATTTCAAAGTCACATGTCAGTGCGTTTTTTTTTTTTTAGGTGTGAGTTGTAAGACATCTGTGCAGCTTCATGCACAGAAACCTCTTTTTCAAATCGGTGCGGCACCGCAAAGTCGGAGTCGCACCAATATGAACTATTTCATTGCTGACAATAGGGTGCCACTTGTCATGCAATTTGTAATTGCAAATCACATGACAAGTCGCACCGGTGTGAACAGGGGCTGAGACTGCATCTGAGTAATATATCTGCTTGTAATAAATGGTACTACTTTAATGCAATTATACATTAGAGTAAAATATTCTTGGAAAGAGAATATTACCATGCTTCTTTTTTGCATTTAGTAAAGCTCAGTTAGTTATAGTAGCTGAAGGCCACATTATAGTAGTTGCTGTTACATTGGGAATGTTTTTGGTTTGTCTGCTCTGGTGTGGGAGTGGAGGCTGTGAAGACCTTTCTGGGCTTTCCAAGGGTAAATCCAAACTACAAGTATGTAAATCACAAACTATTATTTTTCTACAGGTTATGTACAGAAGAATCCTGCAACAGGCTGGATTTATACAGTTTGCTCAGCTTCAATTTTTAGAAGCAAAAGAATTATTCAGGTAGATAATTATTTTTCTCTGTTTGTTCTCAGTGGCAGAATGCTTCAGATTTGTATTTGAAATAACTGCTTTGCTATCTCAATGTATAAACTGGTGTATACGTGGTTATATCCATGCTCATTTGAGAATTTAATCAAAAAGAGGTTGTAGCACATTTGAGTATATGCATTTTTAAATTCTGCTTGGATCAAGCACATCAAACACAGCGCTAATGAAAACAGACACGTCGAGAGGCTATAGAAGATTATACAGAGAAAAAAGGTGAATGCAGTATTTCAGCTTATTTTTGTTTTCCAAAGTTCATAGCCATGACCAACAGTAATGCTTTTGTATTTAAGAGCTCATACACCTGGGCGCATTACGGATAACATCTGGAAGTTCTGGCTTTTTTTCTGTGCTCCGGTATTGTTTGCAGCCGCCCATAGACATGAATGGCTGTGCACAGCTGAACATGGGCAAGTGGAAGTATTCCTAGAACACAGGCTTTCTGGGAAAACATCTGCACGCTATATGTAGGTGTTTACTCGTAGCATTCATGTCTATGGGCAACTGTATGCAGTACCCGGGCTTCCCAGGGGGTGGCAAAAAAGCTATAAATTTACATTGTTTGCCCCAAATGTGCACATGAACATAAGGCTCTAAAGTGGTTCTAAATCTCCATCCAAATAGGACCAGAGACTTGAGAGGCAGAGAAATGTTACAAGCTTCCCTGCAGCTATACTCACTCTCCTAAGAGATACCTGGTGCCTGCATCACTATGGGCTTAGCGAGAGACAGGCAGCAGGGACACGTCCCCTTTTACAGAGCATTACTGGAAGGCTAGTTCATATTCCTCCTAGAGAAGGGGAGGTACGTCTCTCTTTATTTGTGTCGGCTTTAGTCTGTTCAGAAGAGCAGGGAGGATTGTTGGAGAAGGGGAGTGCTTCAAGGTGCGGTGCTAAGCTCAAATACTTAGTGCAGGTGATCTTTATTCAGCTTATTGATTGGATTGTTTTGTTGTTTTTAGGTTTACCACTACTTTAAGCACGTGTCTTTACTAAATCCACAAGTAATCCTTTGCTTAACAAAGTAGAACAGGATTTACATTTTTTTTTTTTCTAAAAATGTAGTTAACATCAGCTTTTAGAGATGGTCAAATATGTGCATTTTATAAAGCAATAGTTTGCCTGAATTTTTTCCTGATTTACTTGTTTTAATATCCCAAGTTACATTTAAAGTACTTTAGTCTAAGGTTCCATGCAAACTAGTGTTTTTTGTTAAGCTAAAAAAAAAACTGGATAAAAAATGCTGGCAATAGTGTTTTTTAGTAGTGTTTAGAAGCGTTAGAGGTTTTACAGTACATGTAGAGGGAAAAAAAGCTGGTAGGAACACTTTAGGAGCGTTTAGTAGTGTTTTTAACATTTTTTTTTCTTCAGCTGGAAAACTCTAAAAAAAACTATTTTTTTTCTGTTCCTAGCTGCTGAAGCTCAAAAAATGCTAATAATCTAAAGCTGTGTGCATGGACGCATAGGATAACACTATTTAGCTTTAGGAGCAGAAAAAATATGCTAATAGCTTCTAGGAGCTACAAAAAAAAAAAAAACGCTACTGTGCATGAAGCTTTAAAGCAAACATGTTCATGTAGATTTTTTTTTCTGGTGACACAAAAATTTAAAAAGAAAATTATCTTAAAAGGCTTATGTCTTAGAGTATGTAAATTAGAGGAGGAGAGCCCACTATAAAATACAATATCAAACATTTTGCATATAAAAAATGGCTTTTGCTCAACATCTCAGACCCAAGATATTTGAAATATTAAGAGAAAAATCTAGTTTGTAATCAAAGTATGGACAGAGATCAGATCAAAAACTGGTGAACTCCTTTTATGCAAATCTCATCTTCATCTAGGAAAGTTGAGCCCCCTTCTCCTTATGTGACTCTGTTTAGGTCTGTGAGTTCATGTGTCAAGTGAGGGACCAATAGGGACAGGTCATTGTTTCCCAGCTCAAGTTTAGCTTTCCATAAGTGTGTATCGTAGGCTTTGGTGAGCCTGAGAAAGTAGTAAAGCAAATTGAGGGGCTGAAATACTGACCTTAATGGTGAAAAATGCTGCACCTTACTCTCATGCTAGATGTATGCCTGTAGTCACAGGATCTTTGTTGAAGGGGAAGCATCAGCGATTTTGAAGCCTGATCTATACCTTCAGCTGAGATCATATGGCAAAAAACAAAGGCTAACTTTTTATATAGGAAATCTAATGGATACAGTATATTACTCCTTCTCTGTTCCAGCAAGGCCAGAATAGTAAGATTCCAGTAAGTGGAACTAAACCCTCATATCCTCTACAGTCATTCCTCGTTCACACCACACAATCAGTAAAACTGATGGAAGCTGACACTCAGATTTCATTTGCAGAGACATCAGTTTACATGCATGCTCAAATGAGTTTTATACACGTTGCAGATTCCTGTGCAGAAAAACTGATGTCCCTGCACCATGGTGTGAACGAGCCCTCAAGGAAGCTGTAATATTACCTCTGTTTGATTTGCAGTTGCCCTGGTGTTGCACGTTTGATCAGTTGTGACACCAGCCATTTGATAGTTTGATAGTTCAGTTGGAGACATAAGCAAATGTGACCATTCTCATTCAAGGCATGCTTAGAATTGAACTGTTTTGGAAAACTGTTAAATCAATGGGTTTAGTTCCGCTTTAACAGTTAGGTATATGTCCATGTAATTAACGGTTTTTTGTCTGAAAAATTACAATTGGAAACATCAAATAAAAAAATAACATTTCAGATAGAACAAAAACATAAGTTTATCATTGTTCTGAATCTCTTTATGTTCCATCTTTGTATTGTATTTTATTTCTTCTCATGAAATATTTAAATCATTTCTTGACTGTGTACAGTTTATAATTGATTTGTTTTGATCATTGTAGAACTAGTCACCTAGATATCCGGGAGTTGATTTCTCTCTATCCTCTCCTGCTGCCATCATCCTCTGGATTTATCCGCGCACATCCACCCCTGCACGAATATGCAGATCTTAATCAGCTCACCCGAGGAGACCAGGAAAAGGTTTCCAAGTGCAAACGTTTCCTCATGTCTTACTTAAGCGAAATCCGCAGCACCGAGGTGGCTAATGGCTATCAGCAGGATGTGGACACGGCCTTGCTTGAAACTTTACGCAGAGGCAGATCATGAGAGCCTGCTTGATCTGCTGGTGTCGGACAATGCTTGTGAAGTGGGAGATTGTGCAGCTTGGCTGGAAAAGCACAAAAAGTGTGAGATTTAAATAGATACCTCTTATGTGCGATTATGTTACCTCCAAGATGCAAATTTTAACAGCTTCTTTTCCTTTTTCACCCTAAATTCCTCAAAACAACCTACCAGTTTTCTTGGCTCATTTAACGTAATTAGGAGTATCTTGCATTGATTTCTCTCAGAACTCTCAAAACTTCTGCATACAAAATTTCCTTTAGTGCTGGTGATAAGGGTCCATGGAAGCCTTGTGCACAGATTTAAAGTACCAGTAAGCTAGAATATACATTACATACAAGTAAGAATAGCTAATTAAAACATGAACAGATATGTAAATGTTTCCATTTTATACAGAAATAAATAAGGTACATTCAAATAGTTGATACAGAATTTATAGTATTTTGTCATCCAGATCTGGGTTAAAGAAGATATGTAGGGAAGCTGGCAGAATAGAATTATGGGAGCTTCTTTCTTTTTGCTAGTTTTAAAGGTGCAAGATTTAAGTCTTTACTGCTTGAAGAGTCACTGGCCTGGAAACAAACCTGCCAGGAGGTTGGCAATGTTGACTTTACTGGCTGAATGCTTGGTCTGGGTCATTGTTTCAGGCTGTGAAACAAGGGGAGGATGATGGACCCCAAGCTTACATCTTTAAAACAAAGATCCCTGTGGCATCTCTAATATTTCAGTCCTGCAAGGTTCCTGTTCAAAATTGCAGTAGGATTTACTACACAAATTAGAATATAAACCCCATAATTATAGGTTTTTTTTTACATATTGTAATTTTTGGTAAGTTTTAAAAATGTCTGCATGTAATGTAATTACATGTAGAAATAAACAGATTTGTTTTTATTTAATTTTAGCCTTTTTAAAGGAGGTTTGTAGGTGCTTCTAATTACTTGTGAACCCTACCCCAACTGCTTACCTCAAGGTGATAACTATGTCCTGCTCTAAGCCACAGCAATCCTCAGTGTTACCTGCTGCAATGCAGTGAGCATTTATAGACATTTATAGAATCATCAACTGAGACTGGAGATATTTGGAAGATGGCTCTGTACAAGTCTTATAAATGCTTCCTGTGCAGAGACAAGCGGGATTAAGGTTGGATAGTATGAAAACAATGCCGTGACTAGGAGCAGGATGTTTTTTCTTAAGATCAGCTAAGGTAGGATAGGGTTGGTATAGTTGAAGCAGAAGTTTAGTCAAGCAATTAGAGCTGCAATCACATCACTTACCTGTAAAGACATATTTCCCACGTTGAGTGGTTGCTGCTTCATGTAGAAATCTTCCATGCAGGGAGCCTGGTCCTCTTCCTGGTGCTGAATTCTGTGATGGAAGGGATTAATAGCTATGGGTCTTCATGCTAACCTGCATTCAGGACAGTCTGATGGGGACCCATCCTCTTCCCCCCTCATCAATTTCGAAAAAGCCTGTGCATACTGTACAATAAATGTAACACAATCATTGAATGGATAATAGTTGAATGAATGACCTAAGTCTCTCCCCCATTAAGAGATTGTGTTATGTTCAATTTAAACAATACAGAGGTGTTCTGAAAGGATGAGAGGGGAGGAAGCTTGTAACCCCCGCCGTTCTGGACGTTCAGTTCCAGAAATAGGACCAAGCACCCTGCAGAAAAGATTTCTGCAGCATGTGGGACATACTTCATTTCAGTTATCTGATACAACTGCAGTTATAAGGGGGGATAAAAGTAATTTTTGACTAAACGTCTTCACTAATGTTAGCAAGGCTAGAGAAGGTGGGTTACTGTACTTTTAGTAAAAGTAGACTTTTCCTTTTAACTATGTACAAGGTGCATTTAATAAAACCATTGCTTACATTGTGAAGTGTAAAATGTTTTATACATGCTGCATTTATTTTAGGTATTTTGCACTTGGCCTACTGTATCATTATAACAAGCAGGATGCTGCTGCTCTTCAGGTATATTAATACATTTTTTATCTTTCTACCTTTTCCTTTGTCGTACTACAAAAACTTGCATGCTTAATTGGCTATTTTGTGTTATTTGTAGTTAACTGAATTTGTTTGAACAGTAGTAGATTACTCAGTGTATGGCTTTGTATTATTCATCATAGACATTAAAGGATGGGCATAGGTGCAGAGAGGATACACTTTCTGACAGGTCTTTCTTTAAGGACCTGTTCAAACATGTCTGATATATTGTTAAGGCAGCCCATTCACTATGGCACTTAGTGTGCCAACGCAAAAAAAAAAATCATACATACACTTGTTTTACAGTGTGTTACAGTGACAGGTGCCGTACAGTTCATTGGGGTGCCATTCACAATGAATAACTCCACAAGCACTGCACATAGAGCTGTGCATTGATATGTAATGTAGTAACCAGCTTTACCACAGCACAATGGTTTGAATGGGTTCTTAGTGTACTAATTATCTGGCCAGCTTATGTAGAGAAAGTGATGGCTTTATTAAGGGAATCAAACATTATCAATTCTATTTCATTCAGATTGGCTGACTGGGAATCTCTGTAGGGTACTAGTGCCCATGGCCTTTTTCGTACCATTGGCGGATGCAAGCTTTTGATGGCAAAGATAATAAAACAAATCAAAGTAACTTATCACCAACAGTTTTGGTCATTACCATGAATATATGTAATTTGTTGGCTGTAGGTTGCAGAAAAGCGTGCACAGGAATATAACTATGCTTTATCATAATATTCTGACAGTGTTAGGCAGTTTTTTATTTTTCTGAATAGATGGAGATTACTCTCTTACTATGTTATATCCAATAGGCATATATAATGTTGTAGAACTTAAGTTTATACATATTTTCTGTTATATATGGATTCTGTAAATTAAAGCATTGAACGCCCACTGACATGTTCCCCTTTTTTTTTTTTTTTTTTTTTTTTTTTCCCCTACACTACAGATCTGGGTAAGAATTGTGAATGGTGACCTGGAAGACAACACTCGGACAGACCTGTTTGAGTATGTGGTAGACTTTCTGACCTTCTCCAAAGACCAGCAGTTGGTGTGGCAGTATGTGGATTGGGTTTTGCAGAAAAGTGAGCAGGTTTGTGGTTCTTGGCTTAGGCTTAGACCTTTGTGACCGTGTTCTATTCATGCTGGTATATTGTTTCTGGACATATACAGTGTTAGACTTTTATGACCTATATAATCTTACTTTATTTGAGTAACTTTATTACATGACACAGGATGGGAATGGAAGAAAGATGGTGTTTTGATGCTAATCACTGTAGCTGATATAGACGTATCTTGTTCTTATGTTTCTGCTCCAAATGTCGTTTTCCTAAGTAAATCTTAGAGATATTCACTCCACAATAATCCCAAATACTATTAATATGTGCTCCATAGGAAAATAAAAAAAATATTTAAAAATGAAACTCTTGGTGTAGCATAGCAGGGGGCATAACAAAGCCTGTCATATCTCCATGAGATCTCTGGACAGAACAATACATATCCAGTAGACGGATGCTTGCCCTGGAGGCTGCGATGTATGGAGGGACTCAATGTCTTCCTTTCCATGGAATTCTTATTTATTATTTTGCTTTAAATAACCTTTTAAACTTTAAGCAGAATTACACTATCAGACTGCTTCCGCTTTGTTTTATGATTTGTGGATGAGAATTGGTACATCATTCTGAGAAGCTAGTGAGTATTTCTGGAAGGAGAGCTTGAATCTTGAGGAATTTTATTGTATGTGTGTAATGCTGATCTTTTAATAGAGGCATTTAGGTTTGGTGAGTTGCAGTCTGATGAGCAGGGATCACAGAGCACTTTGAGCACTTTTTTATATGAGTATTGCACCTGAAGATATCACAATAGAGCACTATGGAAACACAAATGGATCTTATGAACTTATGGATTATGAATCTTTATTTAAATGATTGCATGAGAACACATAGGAGACTGAAGTTTATTTTTATGTACATATAATGTTTGCACATGCATACATTTTTTATTTTCTTTTGGAACACATATTTAGTATTTTACACAGCACTGCAATCCGTTCCAATGTATTTTATTTGGGATTGTTGTGGAGTGATTTGTGGATTTTTTATTGCAGTAGCAGTGTCTTTAGTGATTTTGAGTTTGATTTGGAGGTTGTCCTCTGTATAAAGACAATTACCTGCAGTGCCAGAATGCAACAAGTAATCAGAGTGCAGCAATTAGTCACAAATCTATATGAAGTGCAAAAGTCAATATAAATATAAATCCATCAATCCTAATTTGTAGTTTAATGTCACAATAAAAATAAAGAATATATGTATAAAAGTACATAAAATGCTGATAAAGTGCAAAAAAGTACTGTATAGTCCAGAAAACATATGTATTCTAAATCCTCTACCAACAACTCAGATTGTTGCTGGACTCTTGCCAGTGTAAAGAAGCACCAGCCACCACCATATGGAATGAGCACTCACCAGAAAATGTGCTACAAAATGTTTAGCAAGCTTAGCATGTCATCATAGGTAGGTGTCATCCATGGTAGCCTATGCATCCATCCACAGTGCTCTCCTCTCCTGTTCCCAGCACAGATACAAGCTGCAGCAAGTAAAGCTCACACCAAAGCCAGCAAAGATGGCAGGAGTGTAGTATTTATTGCACCATAAGAATCACATACATAGTACGGCAAACAAACAGATTTATATATCAATGCAAAACTGCTGTAGCGCATGCAGTGGTGTGCTGTGTTAATTTTGCGACTAAAATGGCATTTTAGTCAAAATCTTTAGTCTTTGACTAAGACTAAATTGAAATTTAACATCAAAATGAACACTGCACTACGACATAAGAATAAGTAGGGGGCATCCACTAAGCTACTGAAAGGAAAAAAAAAAAATTAAGAAAAAGGCTTTTCTTTTTTTCTTATTATTTAATGTTGGTAGTATATTTAGGTAATATGTATAATGGCATTACAAGCAATGTTTTACAGTTTTGTTTTGCTTTTTTATATTTTAAAGTCGCACTGTCAAAAAGTGATCTTTTTGTTTGTTTATGAAACTTGGTTTTATTTATAAAGACGGTATATATCATAACGGCTAAAACTTTGTCTATATTGCATGTTCAAACCTTAAAGTGGTTGTAAACCCTCACATGTACCCAGTGAAGTGAATAGCCCCAGGAGATACACAGAAATCCTCCTACATAAGTTTTACTTGTCTATCTGCAGTCTTCTCTTTTGCACATCCCTTCAAAAGCGCTGATTTTTAGATAATTGTCTGCATTTGTCAGTATCACAGAGGTGGGGGCAGAAAGCTGTAGTTAGAGCTCTGTGCGAGCTGATTGGAGGAAAGGGACGCTCTCCCGCACACAGGAGCTATGTTGTGAGTTCTTTCCCCCCCAAATTTATTTCAAGTGTCCAGAAAACTTGTCAGAAGGGACTCATGCTGATAACAGAGGAATGAAGCAGCAGAGAGCAACCACACTTGGAGCTTTCGGAGAGACAAGTAAACACTACAGATATCTGTGCTTTGTTCATTTAAAAGTTTGAAGATCGACCTTGGTATCCACGTCGGAGAGTGGCGCAAAACATACAGCAGTGGGGGGGAGCAACTTCATTTTTATTAAGTTTATTCTGCCTGATAAAAATCGCGGTAAATTACTCCATGCCTTTTTAGTTTAGTTTTAAAGAACTGTACAAGAGGGGAGATGTACAGAAGTCCTGAATCCTTGGTGAAATAGTCACCCCTTGATAATTTGTCCATCCATTGCAAGTGTAGCGGCAAATCGGGCCACTTTAACAGCCGCAGCATCTATTGGCAGGATGAGGGATTTGAAACTGAATCGAAATTTGACGTCAAAATTAACACTTGTGGCATGACGTCAGCACTAACGTTTCTGTAAGGAAAATTGCTAATCATAATAAATATTTTTAGCACAGGAAAAGATGATGTAAACATTTTTCTGTATGGTGTACATTCAGAGGTTTTTTTTTTTTTCATCATTGTTTCATAATTCTGTTCTTTCAAAATTGTTTCTCTTTTAGAGATGTGTGTTTTCACTGTGTTTTAGAAAATGATGATTTACACAATTTAACATTAAGGCCTTGTTCACATGGACACATTTAAGCATACACTCGAGTGAGGGCTGGGTTTGCCAGGACAGGATGCATTGGTATTCCTGTTTATCTGCGTGCAGGCAGACCTCTTCATGTTAACTGGGATGCAGTGGCTGCATGGACATAGCCACTGTTTCTGTGTGGGTGCAGGTGCATGTCCCTGAATGCAGAATGTGTGAGTTTGGGGACACACCTGCACATACACAGATGTCTTGTGTGTCCTTGCAGCCATTGTATCCCAATTAACATGATTGGGACTGCCTGCATGTGGATGTACAGGAACACCTATGCATTCCGTGTGGGAAAACGCTGTCCTCACATGGGTGTACACTTAAGTACGCCAATGTGAACAAAGCCTTATGGTTTATATTCTGTAGAATTGTATGAAAATGTGTTTTAGATCTAATTTTCACTACAATCCATTATCCAGATTGGGGTCCAGATCTTCACAAAACGTTCTTTAGACGAACAGTTGCAGAATGGCTTCTGTCCAGATAAAATTGTGAGCCACCTGTGCAAGTACCAGCGGGCTTTGCTCCTCTACTTGGAACATTTAGTCATGGATAAGATGATCCAGGTAATGCTTTTATTAACAGCGCTCATTATAGTCAAGCCTATAAGCCAAGGGAGTCGTCTATATGTGAACAGTAACTGCTTTTAATGATTGGATGATTTGCTCTATACAAGTTATGATTTCAGTGATATAATGCCACATACTGTAATTGGTAGCAAAGCAGTATATTGGGATAATGGTATGCTCACACTTTCCTGTGTTTGTAGGAATATTTTTATTTTTTTTAAGGCTTAATGGTGGGTTAGAAACCTAGTATTTAAATGTTTGTGTCCCTGTTGTGGGGATGGGGCATGTCTCCATGGGAGGAATTGTCCTTCTTTGACAAAGGGACTGGAGAAAAAGGGACATTTCTCCACTTATTAATTTCCATGTCTATTTTTATTCTATTTTGATAATATTTCAAAAGCAAAAAAAAATCAAATTACAGGGCTGTAGTACGTGTGTATGAATCTAGGCATTCATACACAAGAATTTCCATTTCAAACTTAAAGGGGAAAAGAAAATGAAAGAAATACATCTGCTATACAATCCCCTCTAGTTATTAGATCTGAGGGAAGTAATCAAGCCATATATCACAAGTTTTGTGATATTTTTCATCTTCCCCCTTGCATTTATGAGTCTACCATTCTGCCTCCCTAATCCTGTCCACTTCTGATTTCCAGTCTGATACAATAATGAGGTAGAATACCATTGGGTACATTTAAAAGGTGAGGTGTAATGCTGTTCTTATATGCTGTAACTGAGACCAAGGTGTTATGAAAAAGCACAAGGGTTCTTTTATGATTCCAAAGGGAGATATCCTATCCACCAACTTAATTATGTCCTCCCAATATTTCTGAATACGTGGACATAAAGGTTCCCGGTTGGACACAATCTCTCCAACAATTTGGACTATGTCCTGGATTCATAAGTGCTAATTTAGCAGGTGTTCTATATGACCTTGAAATTTATAACACAATTCTTGCATTTTCGTTCTTATAGAGGTTATATGGATAAGGGTAAAAGTTTTCTGTTTGTTACACATGGGATCTCCTGATTCCGTTTTCTCCCATTCTCTCCAAAAAGCTAGTTCTTTGGAGGAATAGGCTGATACTAAGGGGTTTATTTACTAAAGCTAGAGAGTCCAAAATCAGACTCACTTCTGCATAGAAACCAATCAGCTTCCAGGATTCATTGCCAAAGCTTCATTGAACAAGCTGAGGTTAGAAGCTGATTGGTTTCTTTGCAGAAGGGAGTCTGATTTTGGACTCTCCAGCTTTAGTAAATAAACCCCTAAGAGTCAATATGTCTTTAATAAAAGATGAGCATCGGCAATCCACTCACATTTTTTCCCAGGCAGTCAAAGAATCAAATGGCCATACCAGGATAAAAAGTGTTTAAAAAAAATGCGATAGCTGATAGTGTCTCTAAAAGTCCATCGGTAAGGGACCAAATTGCTGCTGTAAAGCGGCAATAGTCATTACCATCCAGAGCAAGGGTACCGCAATTAGTATTGGCACCCTGGCCCCATTTCCCGAAGGAGGCTTCTTCCCCTTAAAAAAGGTGGATATCTGGCAGGCCCCTCTCTTAGGCCTCCGCAAGTTCGCATATGCTATTCTTGTTTTTTTTCTAATGCCATTCATAATCCACAAGCATTTTTTGTGCAATGCTATGGGCACTGTATATATAATATAGCATTCTTGGTAAGACATTCATTTTAAGGACATTTATCCTACCTAGCCATGTAAATACATTGCAACTCCACAAGGATAAATCGGTTTGTAAAGTTTTCAATAACTTCTCATAATTTAACTTCTATAGCCTGCAGTCCTAATCTGTGTATTCTGATGGTGGGGAAGTCTCCCCACTATACAAATACAAAGACACAGGAGATTTTCCCCATCCACCTCAAATGTGTGGATGGAGGAAGCGGGGCAGTGTTTTCATTCAGCTTGCGACTTCGCAGCCGGGTGCTAACTGCACATGGCGAGTAGCGCTGCACTTTGTGAATGGCCCAGTAGTCTTCTGGGACCTGTCACATGTCCCAGAAGACTACAGGGAGGGGACAACTTCCGCTTCCAATCGCCTAGGCCAGTGGTCGGCAAGCCGTGGCTCGCGAGCCACATGCGGCTCTTTACACCCTTAAATGCGGCTCTTCTGTGTGCCGGGCGCCCGCTCCCCTCCGTCCTCTCGGGCGGCCGCCCCAAAAGTCAGGATTCTGCAGCTAGCCCAGCAATGGAAAAACTACGGCCCGGCGGACCCGTGCGGGAACACGGCGAGAGGAACGCGCGGAGCAAAGGTAAGTGAATTGACACAATATGGGAAATGAATTACTATAGGGGGGATGAATTACTATATGGGGGATGAATTACTATATGGGGGAACACTGAATTACTATGGGGGATGAATTACTATATGGGGGATGAATTACTATATGGGGGATGAATTACTATATGGGGGATGAATTAATATGGGGGATTAATTACTATGGGGGATGAATTACTATATGGGGGATTAATTACTATGGGGGAATGAATTACTATATGGGGGAATGAATTACTATATGGGGGATGAATTACTATATGGGGGATGAATTACTATATGGGGATGAATTACTATATGGGAGATGAATTACTATATGGGGGATGAATTGCTATATGGGGGATGAATTACTATGGGGGATGAATTACTATATGGGGGATGTATTTTCAGTTTTAAAAATGTGGCTCTCAAAATAAATTTCAATCGTGGTTTTGGCGAGATTTGGCTCAGTTGAAAAAAAAGGTTGCCCACCACTGGCTTGGGCCATCGCAGCGGAAGTGGGAGCGGGTACCTGTCACTTTTGGGTACCCGCTCCCCAAAGGTGCCAAACCTTAACGGGGAGTGGGGGACCAGTCCTTAAAGTGGAATGTCCCCTTTTGGGTGGAGCTCTGCTTTAAGATATGTTTTTTATTCTGTAGAAAAAATGTAATGGAAGTTAGTATTGCTGTGATCTTCTTCATTCATTATCACTTTTATTTATAGGGCTTCTTTACATACTGATGCAGAAGCACATCTAAGTTAAGAGAGAAATGTCATCCCTAGCAATGAGCTTTCTCCCTGATCTGTTGTAGCTTTATTTGCCGCAACATATATATCTTCATATGCTTTCAGTGTATACCAGCCATGTCTTCTCTTCTGAGTAATCAAGTTATTTTTTTTTCTCACATCCAGAAGGAAAAGTACCACACACACTTGGCTGTGCTATACCTGGAAGAAATCTTAAGACTAAAATCTATGGACGACTCTGACCACACTGAACTGGAGAAGCTGCATCAGAGATTTCAGAATTTTCTGCGGCAGTCAGATCTTTACCGAGTCCTCTTCCTCTTAGGTGCGTGTTTAGTCTTTCCTCTCACTCAGTTGAAGGGAAATATTCTGGCTAATGGATGATTGTGTACATTTTATAGAAGCTTTTGTTTGTATAGCTATCTTGCCTCATCATTTTTTTTTCTTGGTTGTAATGGAGGTGGAACTTTCAAGTAAATATCTTTTTTGTGTTTTTGTTCTGTATCATAGTTTGCTCAGATTTGTTCTGTTATTCCCTCTATCAGATAAAATCAAAGGCACAAATATGCATATGGAGCGAGCAATATTACACGGGAAACTGGAAGAGCACGATCAAGCATTGGATATCTTAGTTCATCATTTAAAAGACTTTTCTGCAGCTGAGAGTTATTGTGTGTGGAACTCTGAGGGTAGGGATGCTCCTTATCGCAAGAGTCTATTTCAGCTCCTTCTTTCCTCCTACCTCAGTCCGTCCACACCTGGCAACCCTTTGACAGTGGCTGCTGTAGACTTATTGAACAACCACCCCACTGAATTTGATGCTGCCACTGTTTTGCAGCTGTTACCAGAGGAATGGTCTGTGCAGCTGCTCTCTCCATTCCTGGCAGGGGCCATGAGGGAGCACGTTCATGCTTTAAGGATGTCACAGATGGCAGTAGGATTGGCAAGGGCAGAGAACATCATCTATAAAAAGGAGAAGGTGAGTGAAGAGGTGTTTTATCTCATGACTTCAAAAATGTTTCATTCCTAGTTCCAGGTCTGATATCCGTAATTTATATCGACTTATCTTGCAGTTGCAATGAAGGCAGTTTAGGCACAGGTTGTAAATATTCTTGTTAACTTGTCTGTAAGTTGTAAGAGGCAATATCTTGTGGGTGTTTACTATTGTTGTGGTTTTCTGTAAATTCCTGTGCTTATCATCTTCCAATGATATAGTAGATCTGCTTTATAGATGGTACTGTCTATACTTGCTGACAAAATCCATGCTGTGTTTGACATATGTCCAGTTTTTGTAGTGTCAGCATGTACAGAATTAAAGAGACTTGGTCTTCAATTTTATTTTAATCACTGGTCTTGAAGAGAGGGGATCAGCAAGTGGCTGCAGCATTGGAAACATGTTCCCAAAGATAAACCTATCCTTTTAACACAAAAAAAAAAAAGCAAGTAGAAGCACCGATTTTGACATACCTGACAGTAAATATATTAAAGCGGTAGTAAAGTTGCATTTCAAATTATACCTACAGATAAGGCTTACCTGTAGGTACAGTAAATACCTCTTAAACATGCACCATTTAGGAGATTTTTACTTTAGTAGCAGCTGGTGACATCACTGGTGCATGCACACTGTGCTATCAACGGATGGCATGCCGTCCATTGAGAGAGTTGTGCCGCGGCCTGACTCCAACTTGCATGCGTGGGAGTGTCGTCATCGTGGCTTGGCCATTCAAACAGCTGGAGCCCGGGATCCTGGAAGGAAGACCAAGTAAAGTTGGAGGCCCTGTCAGTGGTGACAAGGCTTGTTTTAAGATAAGTCTGTCAGCATGTGCTAGTATGTGATGCATACCATCACATTATGACATTATCCTGCAGTGACCCAATTTTTTTTTTTTTTTTTTTTTTTTTTTTTTTACTACTGCTTTAAGAGTTTTTAGATTGAGTATTCAGTGTTAGCTGTTTTCATACTAAGGTTTGAACTGATACCAGTAATGCTTTTTCTCTATTTTCAGTTAAGCATGAAGGAAAAGCCAGTAATTCTGTCAGAGAAGAAGCTTTGCCACCTGTGCCGGAAGCCATTCCAAGAACCCGTATTTGCTAGACAGCCCAACGGTCAAATTGTTCATACCCACTGTGCTACCAACCAACATGTCAACAGCAGCATTGACCATGTGCCCAGTCAAAGTAAAAGAACATGATATAAAATGATGAATCATAACGGTGACTACAGTAGCCTCCCCCCTGGAGACAACAATGGAACAGGAAGGCTGGAGGCTTCAGCGCAAAGTAATGTGAAAATGATGCACTTGTCGGCAGACTTGTAGACCAATGATGATAGCAATTTGACTCAGCAGGAAATGGCAATGAAGGATACCGGCTATAACCGGCTTTGCTCAGCTACGTAAGCCACAGAGGAATCAAATGCCTGTCTGAGTTCCTAACTGAGCTATTTGCATTTTTAAAGATATTTGCACTGAAGATATTTTGCATATACTTTAATGGGCTGGATAAAGGAAGCATGAACTGTAGGAGACAAGAGGAGGAGAATGTGTCTGCCCCCCCCAGCTAAGATGGCAGTCATTGTGGAAGTTTATGGTATGGGTCTATTCAATCATGGATATTTTATGATATTTATGGCACATTCTACCGATTTCATGGTCAGCATTCCAGTCACATACAGGATGATCCGTTCCCATAAACAGAGAACTGGCTGTACCAAACTTTTCCAAATGTTGTCCTGGGAATTCTGTACAACTTCAAAAGGCTTATCACCTCTGTCATGCCCTCTGATTAGAACTGAAATCCACTAAACATTTTAAAAATTATTTCAGTATACAGCGATAACTTGATTTAATATATTGATTGATTATGAAAGTTCTGTGCTTTACAGTTTTTTTAACGGTTTCCTTTTTTTTCTACATACAGAGGTTCACAATCAGGGGGAGCCACTAATTCACTGCCTGGAACACCCATACCTTGTATTTTTGACCTTGGAGTGTACATATGGTTATATGGGTAGATAGGAAAACCTTGCACTTAGCTGAAAAGTGGTTGGACCAGTGGAAAAGGGATTTTTTTGTTTTGTTTTTATATCCGTTACTGTTTAAGTCCTGTATCACATTTTAAACAGTAGTGTTTTGGGATATCTCAAACAAGTGAAATTTTTTTCAGTCAGTTATTTAGAATACTTGTACCATGCAGCTGTATATCTATATGGCAGTGAAGTTATATTAATAGTCTGTTCTTCAGTTCTCTTAACGGGGTAAATGTTCAAAGGACGGTGCTATTGTATAGTTTTGCAACTCTGGGAAAAGTACTGCTGACACCACTACTCCCATGTCATGTTGCATTTTTTGGCAGTTACCAAACAACTGGCTTGCGCTATAACATCTAGACAAGGCATGTCCGGCTCATTCCTTCCTTTGATTGGCCATTTTAATTTAACCCACTGAAGCTTTGGTATCTGCTGTATTAGCTCTGCTACCAGTACATTCTTTTAAAACCATGAACTGGTTGAAAACCTGGTCAGATATGAGGGACATTGTCAGGACAGGGAGGATTAATACCTTCTTGTGATATGTGATGTTGGCCACCATAGTTTTACATTAAAGAAGTAAGATTGAAAAGGGCATGAGACAGATACGTTTGAAAGCAAGAAAATAATTGAAATCGTTAAAGAAAAAACATTCAGACTGTAATGCAGCAACTTACTTTATTTCTAATAAACTCTTTCCCTGCCTCTGCTGCTTGGTTCCTGTTTTCTGTCTGTTTTTTTCCTGATTTCCTATCTGTCTATTGCAGCTGTGATCAATAGAATATGTGCCACTTAATATTGTATTTGTGTTTATTTTTTCTTTACTTTTTATATCAAGTGTCCCAGCAGAAAGCAAACTTTAAAGCCGAACTCCAGGAATTTAGCCACTTTGTAAAATGTGCTGGCTTGCTATAATTTAAGTCCAATGAGATGCACACCACCTCGTGGACTTACCTCTCTAATTTACATCTGACAGTTTTGTGGAGTTCTGGGAGTGCAGCTATAAGCACTAACAAAGAAGTTGTTGTATTCCCCTCCCCCCGCCTGTTCACAGAAGCCTTTGTATTCTATAAATGAGTTCACCTAATACAAAGCCCTTTGTGGTTGAACAGGAGGGGCTTCTATAGCGCCTGCATGCGAGTCTGCAGCCTTGGGAGCTGAGACCAGAAGAGGGTCCAGTGTCAGGACACTGGAAACATGACGATAGTTATGTTCCCGGCACTCAAAATGTAAGTTGTAAATTAAACTAAGTCCACAAGGTGGCATGCACCTTGTTGGACTTTCCCCCTACTAATCCAGCACATTTTGCAAAGTAGCTACATTTCTGGAGTTCAGCTTTAACTGTTTCTCTCTAAAATGCCCTAAATGGAGCCCTCTGAAGCAGGCACTTCCAGTCTAGACATTCCTTCTATCCAACCACTTGATTGGCAGTCGGTAGAAGAGAAAACCAGCAATGCTACAGTATCATCTCCTTGCAGCTTTGCATAAGAGGTAACCAGAATTTTGCATGTGGCCTTGCTAATGTACAGAAAGATATGGCACAGAGTACAATGCTGGCCCACTAATGTAGTTTGGCATTGAAGATCTTACATAGTGGACGAATGTTTTGAAATTTTGAGTTGAAAATCCCACAAAAATACATAAAAACTTTTGCCATCACCATCCTTTGAACATCTTCCTACAACTCACTGGTGAAATAATGAGTGGGTTTCTTTAAAGTAAATCTACATTTTAACTGTATTCTTTCATAAAATGTTGTTTTGACTCTTTTTATCCTCATTTTACCTTTGTGCTGCTGATCTCCTCTAGCCTCTTTCTGACATCTCTCGTCTACATGCACTGACTTCAATGATGGCTGAATATCATTGCTCTGGAGCAGCTTCATGATGGTAACAACGTTGGATCATTCCTGCTAACCATGTGACAAAACATAAGTACAGTGGGGACATATTGTATTTGTCATAGAACAGACAGTTCCTGGATCTTTATGGCAGGAACATAAAGTATTCTTTTAATGAAAGTTGCTGATTCGCTGCAGCCTAATATGGTGAATGAAATACAATACTGTAAAAAGTATTTGCCCTCTTCCAGGTTTTTTGTTTTTTTTTTGTATATTTGTCACACATATTTTATTTGATGATTCAGATCATCAAATAAAATTTAATATTACACAAAGGTAAGCTGAGTAAATACAATCTGCAGTTTTTAAATGATGATTCCATTTATTAAGAGAAAAAAGCTGTCCAGACCTGCCTGGCCCTATGTGACAAAGTAATTGCCACCTAAACCTAACAACTTCAATCAGGCGTTTGCGATAACTGGCAATGAGTCTTTCACATCGCTGTGAAGGAATTTTGGCCCACTCTTCTTTGCACAATTGTATTAATTCAGCCACATTGGAGGGTTTTTCGAGCAGGAACGACTTGTTTAAGATCATCCCACAGCATCTCAATCGGATTTAAATCCAGATTTGGGTCACTCCAAAACCTTCATTTTGTTTTTTTTTTTGTTTTTTTGAGCCGTTCAGAGGTGGACTTGCTGGTGTGTTTCGGATCATTATCTTGCTGCATAACCAAAGTGCGCTTGAGGTCACTAACTGATGACCGGACGTTCTGCTTCAGGATTTTTTTGGTAGAGTGCAGAATTCATGGTTCCATCAAATATGGTAGGTCATCCCAGTCCTGAAAGAAGCCCCAGACCATCACCATGTTTGACTGTTGATGTTCTTTTTATCAAATGCTGTGTTCAGATGTAACAGGACGCACACCTTCCAAAACTTTAAACTTTTGTCTCATCAGTCCACAGAATATTTCCCCAAAAGTCTTGGGGATAATCAAATGTGAGACGAACCTTTGTATTCTCTTTGGTCAGCTGTGGCTTTCCCTTTGAAACTCTCACATGGATGCCATTTTTGCCCAGCAATTACTTTTTCACAGGGCCAGGCAGCTTTGAACAGCTTTATTTCCCTTAAAAATTAAATCATAATTTCAAAAACTGCATTTTGTATTTACTTGGGTTATCTTGGTGTAATATCAAAATGTGTTTGACAAATATGCAAAAAAAAAAAATCAGGAAAGGGGGCAAATACTTTTACTTTTGTGTACTTGTCCTGTTGGTTTCTGAGGATGATAGTTGAAAAATCCTGATCACTGTTGATGTGCCAGAGTTTTGTGCTTCATGTTTACATAATTTATCCTAAGTTTAATCTGTTACTTCAAAATATACGGTAATCATAAGGTCAAACTTCAGGTAAATATTTTTTTTTTAGTTATAGACACAGTACAGAAGGATCAAAATCTCTGCCAGGATTTTATTGCTGTATTTTTTTCCCATTGGCCAGATTTATCCTTACTGTCCCTGTTACAGAAAGTTTGGGAAAATGTTACAGCTCATACATAATATTCCCCACAGTTAATGGATACCTATCGCACCAAAATAAGAATGCTGGACATCCAATTCAAAACCATGATCATTAAAATCGAGTTGCCCCCCCCACCCCACACCATCTTGGTAGTTATACTGCCTTTTCTTCTGAGTAGGCTTTCCACAAGATTTCAGAGTGTCTGTGAGAATTTGTGCCCTTTCAGCCAAAGAGAAACTGTGAGGTCAGGTACTGATTTTGGATGAGAAAACCTGGTTTGCAGTCAGTGTTCCAAATCATTCCAAAAGTTGTAATAGAGTTGAGGTCAAACTCTGTAAAGGCCATTTAATTTCCTCCACACTTAATTTGAAAATGTCTATGTGGACCTGAATTTTGTGCTGAGAAACAGTCATGCTGGAACAAAAAAAAGCACTGTTCAAAAAGTCGGTTGTAACATTAACAGAACCCTTTACTGGAACCCCCCTCTATAAAATGGAGGGTATCCACAAATACTTGGTCATATGAATTGGCTTCTAACTTCAGCTTGTTCAGTTCTTTGGCAATAAAACCTAGATGATTGGTTACTATGCATAGCTGCACCAGATTCTACGTGCATCAATGTTAATAAATCTATGGTGTAGAAGCCATTAGATTTGGAGGTGAAAAGAAAATCCTTCAAGGAAGGCACTTTTCCAGTTTCCTTCACCTCCGTTTTGTGAGATTCCCTCTAGAAATCATGTTACCAAGACAGGAAGTGAAGGGAATGTTCCCAAAGGGTAATATTGACTGAAAGGCCGGTGTCA